TTGTCTATTTTCCACTATATTTCTTTATTGTTGACCGGTTTCGGCTATTATACCATTTTCAAAACTAACTGATTACATTTAAATCCGAGTAATTTATACCTATATTATTCTAGCATAAATGATTTGATATACCTGATATATCTNTCCGCAATGCACAATGATTAGTCGCGATCCTTTGTTTGCACGCATGTTAGGCGTACACATTCTCGAACCATTAGTCCTTTTGTAGTGTATCCTCAGTGAACATGAATTTCCACAAAATAAACAAGTCGTCAATCGAAGAAGTTTTCAAAAATAGCTGTCAGTTTCATGTTAACTTTCGACCAAACGCCAACTGAGAACGCTCATTGTGAAAGCGAAAATACACTGGTATGACGAGAAATTACGTACAGAAAGAGCTACGGGCCCAGTATACTTATATACAGTAGTCCTACGTAGCGTCGGTTCCTTTGATGATGGTGTCCAGGAGTTTCAGTTTTTACAATGCTGACGTATTTGACACTTCCCTACTACCATCTCAATCAAAGCGTCTAAACACTGCTCAACATAACAACTATTCATATAAACTGCTCATAAAAATACAGTCGAAGCTCTTTGGCTTACAGAGACAGGCTTGTTGTCCATCAGTGGTGCCATCAGTACCACACCGTCAGCGGCCATGGTCCTTCTAGATCTACCTCCTCTCCACATTTTTCTGGAGAGACTAGATTTTATTTATTTATTTATTTATTCTAAATTCGGGACACATACAGGTAAAAGAACCCAAACAAGTATCCACTAAAATACAGATTGTGCTAACAAAACTGGCGTTCAACAGGTAAATGATCTAAATGCTTAATCTAAAACATAAATGATTAAAAATTGAATATTTTCCTTATGTTACTTTTATACATTTGTAAGGACATGGAGAAAACGTCCAAATTGGAACAGTATCTGTTGAATGAGTCTGTAATTCTATTTATTGGAGAGTTTTTCCCCACATTGGTGTTATATGTGGAAGTAGCTAATAAATATTTATTCCTTGTGTTTCTCTGGGGTACATGAAAGGACATCATTGCTATCAACTCAGGCGAGTCAATAAGATTCGTTAAAATTTTATAGCCAAACACTAGATCCGAAGTGATTCTCCGTTGTTCTAGAGGCTGAATGTTATAATAGTTACGGATTTGATTAATACCGTGAGTTACATAGACAT